CTAATGACTCCCCACAAGATAAGCCTGATGATCGGTGCGGGAAAGACAAATAACACCAAGGTTTCACGAAGAAAGTGTCGGTTGACCAATCATATGCTTTTTCAAGGTCTACCTTGATGACCAACACACTTTTTTTGTTCTATCTATATGTATACAATGGAGGGCCTCATGTGCTTATAAAACGTTATCAGTTGTACCCCTCCTTGGTATGAATCTTCCTTGAAAAGGACCAACGATATTCACTAAGAAAGGTCGAATGTGAGCCACAAGAATCTTGGTGATTACCTTATATGCTATGTTGCATAAGCTTATAGGACGGAAGTCATTGAGATAGGACAGATTGTCAACCTTTGGTATCAGGACCAGAAGTGTATCTAGTAGGCTTGGATTAGATTACCTATTTCTAAATGCTTTCTTCACGAGATATTGGAGATCCTTGCTCACAATGGGCCAGAATTGCTTGTAGAAAAATGGCTGGAAACTGTCGAGACCTGGGGCTTTGAGTGGTTTCATTCCCATGATCATTTTCCTGACCTCTTCTATTGTGATAGGATTTATGAGAGAGTAGGTTTCCTCATTCGTCAGCTGGGGAATAGTGCAAACCTAAAACTAAGCCAAGTTAGATTAACATTATCAGTAAAATGGGTTAGAAAATACCTATGCGCTTCCAATCTCAACACTTAGATTTGTATTCCAAGTTTTGTCATCAAGAAATATTTTGTGAATTTTGTTTTTCTTTTTGCGAACATGCATTTAAAGGCGAAAATTTTCCGTGTTCCAATCTCTAAAGCAAATCAAGTTTTCACGTGATTTTTGGATCCAAAGGAACTGTTGTTGGAGGAGAATTTCATTGTATTCCTCATGAAGGCTCTTTCCTAATTGGATTAGATTCTCATATTCCTTTTCTTCAAGAGCAAGTTCTATGCCCTTTAGTCTAGCAAGAACTCTACTTTTGCATTTAAAAATGTTCCCGAAGATATTATTATTGAAGGTAATTGAGTCTTTCATCTACTTGAGGCACAAATTTATATCTGGTGTTTTCCTACTCCTAGCTTTCCTTACTACTTGTTCGTAATCCTTATGAGTCACCAATGCCACTTGGAACCTAAAAGGCTTTGCAGGAAATGTGTACTTTCAAGTAATCAAAGTATTTATATTTTAATATATTTTATAATATATATATAAAAAGTTCTTATAAATATTTCGTATTCAAATAATCTCTAAACCAGACTAAGTCACTTAGGAGCAAATTTTTCTGTGCTTGAGAACTTAAGGGGTAGTTTATAATTTAAAAGAAATTATGGAAGACGTAAAATTGAAAAAGAACGAAAAAAAAATGAATTGGGGCTAGTGAAGTTTGCTATACTCTCGATCCGATCACAAATTTGTAAAGATGTATATTTGTCATTTTCAATAAATTATAACTGTTGAATAAAAGGCAAAGGTCTTGTGGCCTTCCTCCATAACAACTTTCTTCAGCTTAGAATCGTGAGGTAGGCAAATTCTGCCATTAAATCTCAAAATTACATCTCTGCCCAGCTCAAAACCAACTGCCTTCTCAGTACCTAGCAAACCAAGAATCTTCACCAACTGTACATCTTGCAACTGCTTCAACCCAATCTACCTCAAGAACTCACTAGTTATGGTAGTCATTCCACAACTAATGTGATCATGAGCTAACTCCACACAGAGATTCAAATCTCTGAATTCCTCCACCAACTCCAGCTCTTTCACCATCAAACTAGACATGTGGATGAATTTCCTACTCAGCGCATCCACCATTACATTGGCCTTCCCAGGGTGATACATCAGCTGAAAATCATAATCTTTCAGAAATTCCATTCACCGTCTCTGCCTCATGTTCAACTCCTTTTGATCAAACAAGTACTTCAGACTCTTGTGATCACTGAAGACACTGAACCGAGAACCATACAAATAATGCCTCCATATCTTCAAGGCAAAAACAATTGCTACCAACTCCAAGTCATGAGTGGGATAATTCCTCTCATGGTTCTTCAGTTGCCTTGAAGCATATGCTACTACTTTCCTGTTCTGCATCGACACACATCCCAATCCCTAGTGAGAAGCATCACAATACACATCAAAGGGCTCACCAGAGTTAAGCAACACTAACACAGGAGAAGTAGTCAACCTCCTCTTCAGCTCATCAAAACTCTGCTCACAGGCATCTGTCTAAATGAAAGGCTGATCCTTTCTAGTCAACTGGGTTAGAGGTGCTACTATCTTGGAGAATCCCTCAATGAACCTCCTATAGTAACTCGCTAGACCCACAAAGCTACGAATATCTGTGACAGTTCTTGGACGCTCCCACTGCAACACCGACTCCACCTTAGTCGGATCAACAACAATCCCCTCAACTGAAATAACATGGCCCAAGAACTTCACCTCTTCCAACCAAAACTCACACTTCGACAGCTTGGCGTACAACTGCTTCGCCTTCAAAATATCCAACACCAACCTCAAGTGCTCTCCATGCTCCTCCAGGGTCCTTGAATAAATCAGGATGTCATCAATGAATACAACCACGAATTTATCCAAGAAAGGCCAGAAGATCCTGTTCATGTAATCCATGAACACTGCCGGGGCGTTGGTCACACCAAACGGCATCACAACATACTCATAGTGACCATACCTAGTCCTGAAAGCGATCTTAGGTATGTCACCCTCCTTCACCCTGATCTAGTGATATCTTGACCTCAAGTCAATCTTGGAGAATACCGATGCTCCCTTCAATTGATCCATTAAGTCATCTATCCGGGAAAGTGGATATTTGTTCTTAATGGTCAATTTGTTCAACTGCCGGTAATCAACACACAATCGACTACCTCTATCCTTCTTCTTCACCAACAACACGGGAGCACCTCACGGAGATACACTCAGCCTCACCAACTGCTTCTCCAGCAAATCTTCCAACTAACTTTTCAGCTCAACCAACTCTGTTGGGGTCATCCTATAGGGTGTAACCAACACTGGCCCTGCACTAGGAACCAAATCAATGCTGAACTCCATCTCCTTAGTAGGAGGCAACCCAGGCACCTCATCTGAAAACACCTCAGCAAATTCTTTCATAACCTCAATCTCAGCAACGAGTCTCTCGGTCTCCACACTCATAGCAGCAAGCAGAATATAACACTCTGCTCTGTCTCTCATCAATGTTTCAGCTTGGCTAGCTGAAATCAACAGTTCATCCTCCACTTGAGGAAAGATCAACCTCTTATTGACACAATCTACAAGGATGCGATTGGCAGACAACCAATCCATCCCTAAGATTATGTCAATATCAAATAAAGGCAAACAAATCAAGTTTACCTTATACTTCTTCTCATTCACCACTATCGGACAACTAGCACACAGCTCGGAAGCAACCACAAAAGCATAAGCAGGCATCAATACTAACAGTCTCAACCCTAAATCACACACCGGCACACCCAACATTGCAGCACATGCATACGAAATAAAAGAGTGAGAAGCTCCAGAATCAAATAAAATCATCACATCCTTACTAGCAGCTTTGCCCTTCCCCTTCACAAGGTCAGATGAAGTGGAAGCTTCAGCCCTAGTCAAGGCGAATACCCTCCCAGCAGTGGTAGGTCTATCACCTCTCGGAGCACCCCTATTCGGTCGATTCCTGGCAGGACAGTTGGTCGACTCATGACCCAATAGCATCTGAAACACCGGATCTTAGTGTGAGGACAGTCCCGAACAAAGTGGGGTCCAGCACACCTATAGCATTTGAGAGTGGCACCTCCACCCTGTTTTCCACCTCTATTAGCATCAGTAGGTTACCTTATGACAGGACCCCCTTGCTGTGGTTGGGACCTATCATATGGCTTCCTCTGACCTTCACCTTTCTTGGACCTAGTTGGTCCCTCAGCAGTCTTCACCACAAGGTTGTCACCTTCCAACTGCTCAACAACTTTCGCCTTCTCAACTAAGGCCGGAAATTCCGTGATGGCCATAGGCACCACCACCCTCTTCAACTTCTATCTTAAACCCTCAGCAAACTTCCTGCATTTCCAGGCCTTAGAAATAGTTTGCGAATAGAAACAAGCCAGGTGCTCGAATCTCATCGCATAGTCAGACATCGACATCCCTCCTTGGTGCAACTGCATGAACTCAGCCTCCTTAGCGTGCCTCACGCTCTCTGGGAAGTACTTCTCAAGAAACACCCTCTTGAAGCACTCCCAGTCAACAGTTACTCCTCGAGCAACCAACATATGGTGGGTGCCTCTCCACCAATGTTCAGCTTCCCCAACCAACATGTAGCGGCCTGTCTGACTTGTCAAAAGGCAAAGGTGGAGCATCAGAAGCCGGGGGGTTTGTTGTAGTAGATGAAGATTCTGGAATGGAAGTGGGATAGTATCACTATAGATTTCATTGTGGGATTACCTACCTGTACATTATCTGATGTATTCCAGATTCACAATTTACAATAACTAATAAAAAATCTTTAATGAAGTGTGTATATTACGAACATTTCTCTTGCAAAGAATGACACGACATTTTCAGGCACCTTATATCCCAAACAAACGAATAAACGCTATTGATTATGATTTTTAATATTAAAAGCATCGACAAATCCTATATTACAAATCTCAAAAGGCAATTTATCCTCGATTTTTTTTCCATATAAGAGTCAAAATTTAGTTTCATGAAAGTCATCTGCATCCTTACTCCCGCAAAGTTTCCAAATTTTAAAATATTTAACGCATAATCAAGTATTTTATTCGATTAAGAGTTTATTTAGATAAACAATTTAATTGAATACTTATTCGTTAAGTTCTTATCAAATGCTTGAAATTTTATCTAACGTAGCTTAAAACAAATCTCAACTATTTAGAGTATTTCTCATAAGACAGATTTTTTTTGTTGGGTAAGTAGACCCATGTGGCTCAAAATGCAGCCATTATGTTAAATAATAAACTGATACCTGATGGTCATTGTCAGCAGAACAGATCAGGAATCAGGTGAAATTTGAGTGGATCAAAAACAATTATAAAGATTAAAGACTATACTTCAAAAGTTAAATACAATGAAACAAGAGACACCCACCCATAGGTGAACAAGAGCATATTTCATCTAAACTCTAAAAGCATATATTGATTGACAAAATAAAGACAAACAAAATTTGTATTCAACACAAAATATCTCTAACCTAAAGCTCACCAGGTATAGCCAAAACAGACCGCGACAATACAAGTGTTGTAATTTGAATTTCTATTGGAAACTGACATACTATCGTCCTGAATCATTCATTTTTGGAACTGGTATGATCAGGAATGTTTTCATCATTGTTGTTGACATCCTCGCCACAATCTTCGTTCTCACTGTTATCATCTTCTTCATCATAATCTTCAGTGTCACCGTTATTATCTTCATCTTCACAAGCTTTGCCCTCGCTATCCTCATTTTTACCATTAAAAATTTCACCATCATCATGCTCCACGTTAACTCTGTTCAGTTTGGCATAGTCTTCAAGTGACGCATTTGGAAATAATTGTCCAACTTTACTACCATTAGTATCTGTTGGGGCACTATCTGAACTCTTAGATTTTCCTTTGTTCATCTAATAGCAAAAGTAGAAAGAAGAATTATCAGCAAGATGCATGTTTGCAGAACAGGAAAGTAAGAAAAACATTTCAAAAATAGTATAGGTACTGCCTTTGTCATAAATGAGAATGAATTATGGCTTACACCATCATGTGTGTAGATTTTGGATAAACTTTAGAATACCAATATAAGCTCGAAGAAACTATGTGACTACATGTAAATGCAACAGTACATACGCATCAACGGCAGGTACTACAAGAAACTTCTTAAAACAGACATTGTTTAACAAACTCAATTCGGTGATATGATTTTCAAATGAAATAAAATGTTCTATAACAACATACAAATATATAGTTATGTTTGGTTTTAAATACTGTCGGGTAAATTGATTAGACAGAGTGCGTGGTAGGCATAATAGAGAAGCAGAATCTGCAGTTAAGAAAATGAATAGCCTTAGTTTTAGTATCTTACAGCACGCAATAGGGATCTCCTTTCTCTCTCCCGGGAGTTCTTAATGGCCTGCAACAAAAATACCAGTATTATTTCCAGATTCTGCTTTCCATAGAAGAATAAGGCAAACATTCAAAAGGGAGGGAATGTCATAAAAAAAGAAACCTCCTCAAGCAACTTTTGCTCGGCCTCAACTTCCAAAATATCTCTACAAAAAACAAAATAACACGTCAATACAAATTCATCTTTTCCTATGATGAGTGTTGGCGTCAGCAAATGTTATCTGATATCCATTTTGCACAAAACTTATGTTGCTACAAATGCAAACAAAAACCAAATCCTCCTCAAATGTGGGAAAAACAACCTTCCAACAATTCGGTCCCGACTGCAACAACACTTTGCACACACACCATGCACCTTGGCACAACCTACACCAACAATAAAGCCAATAAGCAAAAACACACAAAACAAAAGACAAATTCCACTCAGTTTTCACCTAATTTCATCAAGGTATTATTTCATATATCCTCAGAGCACTTTTCACAAACACCACCAATTCAACCCATACCCTTTTCATCTTTCCACCTCCACACTCCAAAAATCCATTCTTTTTCCTCATTGCACTGATTTCAAAATTACCCACTTACAAAGACCCGAAATTAAAATTATAAAAAACAAATTTGATACTAACCAGAACACACGTTATGGTAAGCTTGGCGAACATTACGCTTGGAGCATTTCTGACTGCAACCCAATTAACTAATTAATCAACAAATAGCTAAAAAATAAAAAACTAATAGAATTCATGAAAAAAAAAGTGGATAGATAATAAAATACCATTTGGCGGGTTGAACAAGCGGCTTGTATTTTCCGTAACGGCGTTTCCAATCGATTTGTTCCTTGCAACGGGGACACACCCCAGTGATCTCAGAGAGAGGTCTGAACCTTCCTCCAGGTTCCTGTATTGTGAATAATAATATTAATATTCAAGTGTTTTCAATTATGAATATTTGGATAGTTATAGTTACATACAGTTTCGTTGATCTTGCGGCCAGCGTTGGGTTTCCAAGCGTACTTGTTCTGGTGCTTTGGGGGTCCGTTCCTATTGCCGCTACTCATCTTTACTATGCCTTCTTCTGTTTGAATTGAATTAGCCAAGAATAACCATACTTTATATAGGTGCATTTTTTTTTTATTTATTTTGTTTATCCCATCCGATTAATTTTGATGGAATTAAATTAATTCAACTTTTTTATTATTCAATCTCAAATTCGGACTAATCTCATCATACCTAATATGGATTGAATTGATTTGTTGAATTTATCTGTAAAATAAAAAATAATAAAAATAAAATTACATTATATAAACAACTTATAAAATATATTTTCATATTATCAAATAATAAAATATTTAAATATTATAAACTTGTTTGTTAACATTATAAAATTATGTACATGTTAAATATTTATTATATATAACTAAAATTTATAACAAATTATATTAAAAAATATTATATTTAAATATATGAATTATATTTAAAAAACTTATATATAAATATTTTTATATTTATGATAATTAATTTATATACAACTTATAATAATTAAACATCCAACACAAATAACAAAGAACACACATGTTATATATCTTAACATCATTTCAACTTAATTTAACATATTAATACTAATTAACATAGTATCAACACCTCAACACAAACTACTATACAACTCGTCATAATAGTTACCGTATTCAACACAACAACAAATAACACATGTATTACACACCTTTCAACAACATATATAGGGATGGCAATGGGGCCCCATGGGGACCGGTAATAGTAAACCCGCCCTCGTCCCGCTGAATGAAAATTGGCCTCATACCCACCCCATATCCGTGCGGGTATTCATTAAGCGGGTATCCATGAATTTCTTGAATACTCACGGATATCTACGGATATCCATGGATATTTATAAAATTTTTAAAAAATTAAAAAAGATTATATTACAAATAATTTTAAGTTTATATTTTAATGTCATTGAAATATTAAAAATAAAAATTCAATGTTAATTTTGAACTTTTATTTAATGTTAATTTTGTTGAAATAATAATAAAAATTCAAGATAATCAATAACTTAAAATACATCAATCTCACAAGTAAGTTAAAGTCTCATCACAAAGCTACAATAATTCAATCTCATAATTCCAAATGAAAGTAAACAACTTAAAATACATAAATCTTATTAGTCCAACCAAAGCTAGAAAATTAATCAAATTACATCCAACATAATTTTATAACATGCTTCACAAATGTCGGTAACTTCATCAACCTCACTTTTGTAAGAAAATAAGACGAGAGAGTGTAGTTTTAGGGTTATGTGGTACAAGGATAATTAGGATATTTAAGAAATAATATTAAACGGGTACCCGCGGGTATGGATATCATCATACCCGCCCCCGTCCCATTTATAAACGGGTAAAAAATTATCCGTCCCCATTATCTGCGGGTACCCAATTAGCCTATCCATTTATTATCCGTAGCGGATTTTATCCACAGATATCCGCGGGTACGGGTATTTTTGTCATCCCTAAACATATATTTAAAAGCAATTTACAACACAGGTAATCTAGCAACACTATCATCATCATCAACTTATTCAACATACAACGCACAACACATAAACAACACACATCTCAACAACACCTTCACAACACATCAACACATATAACTCATATCATCACAATATCAACTCATCAACACATATGTGTTGTCATGCATTTCAACTCATATCTCCTAACAACATGAACAGTCTAAGTGATTTCCACCCTACCGAATCAACCCAATCGTTTTCATGCCCGAAACATCGGCTCGATTACAGCAAAATGGGATACTAATCCCTCCTATGATTTCTCGGGTCTCATCACTTATACTAGGAAAGTTCGGTTCCACCGTCAGGAGTAATACAACTGGGTATAGGCTTATCACAACTTTGTCATGCATTACCAAATCATATATGGAATTCACCCACTAATTATCCTTGAGGAACCACACAACCTCTCCAAGTACTTGGTTAAGGGTTATAGCCCTCGACCGCCTACCTTACTCAACCAATAACTAAGGATTTGGAGGAGACTCAACACACCTCAAAACCTATTCTAAGAGATACACCTACTCAAGGAGGGTTTTCCAAACAGTGGCCTACCCGAGCACTACTCCAAGATATCCTATGAAGGATCTTCAGTTTTCGAAATAATTTTCTCTCTTCAAATCCTATGTTAGCCATCATGTTATAATGTCACACCACATTCTCAGCATCCACACCTCATCAAACATCTACTATATACATTACATCCAGCCAATGCATATAGAGATCAACAATATCAATCATGTATAACATACCAATGCTTAACATCTTAACCAATAACAGCCTACCAATGCTTAACAATTCATACAATAATAGCATATCTATGCTCCACAATTAATTCAACATAGCATATCAATCATATAAAGCATATCAATGCTCATCACATTTCAACTACACAAGGATAGCATTCCAGTGCTTATTATCATTTCAAGTACACAAAGATAGCATATCAATGCTCATTATCATCATCTTATAACACAAAACATGCAATAGACACAAGCATTCTATTCATGTTCACCAATTTAACCCATCATACAACATGTATCACATGCAATTTATCAAAATCACGTATTTCTACACTGACAACCTTCACATAAAACAACCCATAGAGAGTTCTACAACTCCAATCACTCTCATCCTTATCTCATATGAAAGACAAGAACATTTTCTAAAACTTTCATGAAGAACTCAGTTTCTAATTCCCTCATTTACCATGTTAAAAATTGTAAAAACCGCAACTGTTTTACTAAATGATGACAACTTGATATTTGCTCACTAAAAATGTCATAATTAGAGCTCTAGACCTCCTTTTTGGGTGATTCCAGCGCCATTGAAAAGCTAATATCAATGGCTACAACTTTGATGAAGAACTCAAGACCAAATTTGGTCATCTACTCTCATCGCTGTAGCGCTCAAATCAGTGCTTTAGCACTAGATTTTTGCTAGTTCAGTTTCCTTCCCACAGCTATGGCCATGAACCACAACCATGGCTATAGGTCTCTGCCACTACATTTTTTGTCCACGCCCATGGCCACGAACCACAACTATGGTTGCAAGTCTCTACCACTACAATTTTTACTCCATGGCCATGGCCACGAACCACGGCCATGGCTACAAGTCTCTGCCACTACATTTTTCGCTCCACGGCCATGGTCACAAACCATGGCCATGGCTGCAAGACTCAACCACTACAATTTTTGCTCCACGGCCATGGCCACGAACCACGGCTGCAAAACTCAGCCACTACAATTTTTTGCTCCACGACCATGGATTTCACCTTTAATCATCTCCTTCTTTTCACCAATCTTTCCTCTAAACATGATCTACACTCAAAATCTCTACCCAATTTGTTCATACAACCAGAAAACATAGGAAATTCAACATGCATGCAGCCAAATTCAAAGAAAATCATCAATGTTCAACCTTTCATCAAGAAACCTGAACCCCAATGCTCAACATGCAAATCACTTCAAATTCATCCTCCCATTTTCAAATTTCAAAATCAAATCTCCATTCATTCAAACAATCTAACATGCAAGTCAAAATCTCAAGCTTTGCAGTTTCCCTTACCTCAATCCCAAGCTCCACGAGGAAGAAGAAGAAGAGAATGGAGGAAGAAAATCTTTTTTCACAGCTTAAGCTCCACCACTTCAGCCTTAAAAATAAAACCACAATGAATAAGCTTTAGGAAGAAATGAGAATGAAGAGGAAAAAAAAGAAACAAGGGGACAAGAGTTTCGAGTCTCACAAAGAGTGTACTTAGTATTTACCTTTTAAAAATGTATTTTTATATATAAAAAAAATCAATTTTAAACAAAACGGCTAATTTTAACATAGTGGTACTTTTTAATGGCCACTATAATAATTTCATTTTAAATTTTAAGAATGCAAACATAATTTAGCTAAATATAAACATATAGTCATATTTTTATTTTACTTCTTCATGGACCATTATTATTAAGAAAGTAATATTCCCCATAATTCATTGTCTAACCATAATCATGTGGCAATTAGAAGTAATATTATAAAAAAAACTGGATACAAAAATGAATTTCGCATATCAATTAATTTTAAAAAGAACGTTGTAGGTTGTAATACACCTTGAGAGATTTTTTTTACACATTTTAAAAAATCCATCAACAATTAATCCCTCGTTTGTTTATTTCTTTCACTTCATATTACATATATTTATTCCTATCACATCTATTCTTTTGTATCTAATAATCATTATTGTATATTTTATCCATATGTTTGTCTGCGGATGCACCAAGTAAACACAAATTCTACTGTGCCCGCTCAATTTAAATCCAAACGAATAGATGGGATTCAAGATTTAAATTATATCTATATTTTTTATTAAAAAAAATGATTTGGGTTGTTTGATATCACTTTTTAAACTGTTGCTATTTTTTCCAACCTGATTTTCAAATCAATCAATTTTAAAACAATTCAAATCAAAAAGATAATTTTAAACAATAAAAGAAAATTGTACTAAACATACTTTGGTCACAGTTAATTCTAGTTTCAGTTTTCATAATAAAACATGATTTGAATTATATTACTATAATGATGGATTAGATCAATGCAGTGTAGGTGCAGATTTGCATTGCCCTACATAAGTTTAATTTCCTAAAAATAATCTTTACAAGTTATTATAGAAAAAAAACTAACAAATTACTATACAAAAACAATTATATAAATTACCAGGTGTCACAAACAAATGTTGTATTGTTAAGCAAAACTTATATTTCTTCTAATTCTTCTCACTCCCTCCTCTCTATGCCTTTTATGCTTCTTACTGGAGTGTGATGACTTGAGGAAAATTAGGTTTGGTACGCTCTGTCACAGGAAAAATTAGGTTTGGTTACCAAGAGGATTTCATCAAACCCAATAATAATTAGAAGATTATACTTAAATATTATCCATATTTTTATTCCCTTTTATCTTATTTTTTTGTGAACATTTATTGGGTATGCTTATAAAATTTTATTCCCTTATCCTCACCCATCAAGGGATTAAATATTTATTGGGTGTGCTTTTATAGTTTTATTCCCTTATTCTTGCCCATTAAGAGATTAAGGAGATCAATCCATTGATTTTGTATACAACATTTTCACACTGAATTCAATTTTGATGGATAAAAAATACACTGATAAAGGACTTCCCTTTCCTCGTAATTGAATAAATAATTAAGTATTGATTTAGAACACAAGCACAAAAACATTGAAATCATGATAATTTCAAAAATGGGGTGATTGAAAAACCAAGGGATTTTTAAGGAAAAACATGATTTGATGTGTGTGCGATTTAAGGGGCAGTGGAAATTGAGATGAAAACATTCAAAAATTAAAAGAAAAAAATATAGCTGCATGAAATTTGAAGGATACCATGAGAGAGGGTTCCTCCAATCGTGAATCAGTAGCCGAACTATATATAGGCACCATGCAAAAGGTTGTTTGTTTAGAGAAATCGCAACAAACACCCGTGTCTGACTTAAGTGCCAACAACATCAACAATTGTTAAGAACAAAATTAAAAGCAATTTGACCAGAAATTGTGTCTTGAAACAAAAGGCGTTTGATTTCAAGGATCTTCAACTGGTTCTTTCGTTTCGGCTCTAAGCGGCAGTCAGGTAACCATTAAACAAGCCCCTGCTGTTGACTCTGTTGTAGAGCCTTCAATATTTTCCCCCCTTTTTACTATCATTAGGGTTACTTCCATGACAAATGCTACCAACATTAGAAATATTTCAATCACATTGAGAGAGAGAAAAAGGAACCAGAAACTCACCTCTTCAACAGAACACACGAAGAAGCTGATGACAAAGAAGATGTGGCTACTGCTTTATATATACTTGTGTTGGAAACCCTGATGTTGTTTCAACTACCAAATTGCTGAATCTCGCGTTGAATTGGTCCCATTGAATTTGGGCCTTCTACATGTTTGGGCTTCATAATTGAATTATATCCCACACATTCATTGTGATGACATTTATTAATAGGGTGATGATATATACACCTCCTATTTTTTATAAATATACCTCCAATCTCTTTTTTTAAAATAAAATTCTTAAAATATCTTTCTAACTAAATAAAATTATATTGATGAAGACGTTAATTTTAGCATTCTGGAAAATATTTTCTGGAATAGTAAAATTATTATTTTGGAAAGTATTTTCTAGAAGTTTGTTTCTTATATAATTCCGGAAAGTTCTTTCCGGAACATTAAATTTAGTATTTCGGAAAATATTTTCCATAATTATGTAACAAGCACACTTTCGGATTTATTATTTTTCTAACTTATAATTTTTCAGATTCACACCTCCCTTCTCACCATTCTTCTTTCTTCTTTGTGCACCCCGTTTCTTCTTCTTTACTTTTTTCTCCGCACCTCCATACCTCCCCTTCTTCCCTTTTCAATTTCTGTATTATCCTCTTCCCTTTTTAGTTTTGTTATAAGTTGTAAGCAGGTTCAATATCGAAGAGAAATGTGTAAAACCATATGCATTTTTTCTTCCAAGTAATTCTTCTCACTATTTGTTTTGAAAAGTGTTTTCTAGAATAATAAAGTTTTTGTTCCGAAAAGTATATTTAGGAATAGTAAATTTTTATTCTGAAAAATAATTTTCGAAAGTGTGTTTGTTACATAATTCCGGAAAATATTTTCCAAAATACTAAATTTAATGTTCTAGAAAGAACTTTCCAGAATTATATAAGAAACATACTTCCGGAAAATGCTTTCCGGAACAATAATTTTACTATTCCGGAAAATACTTTTCGGAATGCTAAAATTAACGTTTCCATCAACATAATCATATGGGTGATGATAAATACACCTCTGTTTTCATATAAACACACCCCTTTTTTTTATAAAATATATAAAATCTTTAAATTACCCTTTTTTTAAATTATTCTTTTTTTTTAAATATATATATATAATTTCTAAATTTGCACCTTGCACCCCTCTTCTTTCTTTTCCCCACACCCTTCTTCTTTTTTGTTTTTCCCGCACCCCGCACCCCTATTCTTTCTCTTCCCCGTACCCTTCTTCTTTTTTCTTTTTTCCGCACCTCGCACCCCTGCTCATTCTCTTCCCTATACCCCTCTTTTTCTTTCTTTTTCCCGCACCTCCCTTCTTCTTTCTTTTTCTCGCACCCCTCTTTCTGAAATAGTAAAGTTTTTGTTCTGAATATTACTTTCCGGAATAATAAAGTTTTTATTCCAAAAAATACTTTTCATAATAGTAAATTCTTATTCCGGAAAGTATTTTCCGGAAAAATTTTGTTACATAATTTCGGAAAGTACTTTCCAGAATACTAAAGTTACTGTTCCGGAAAGTTCTTTCCGAAATTATATAAGAAACACACTTCCAGAAAATGCTTTTTGGAACAATAATTTTACTACCGGAATGCTAAAATTAAATTTTTAATCTTATTTTCCAGTATGACAAATTTAAGTTACGTGTTTCTTTATCTCCTCATCCACTACCATCGTCTACGATCCTGTTGTCCATAAGTAATGTTAAATAAGTTAAAAAAACTATAAATATAAAATGTAATTTAATATATTAATTTGTACCTTGTATTAAATATAGAGAATAATGAAGATTGAATGAAAAATTAGGATTTAAGAAATAATAGAGTAGAAAGTGAAAAATAGAATTTAAAAGATAAAAAGATAAAATATGATTATGTTGATTGTAAAAGAAGAAAAATCAAGAATGAAAAACGAAAAAGAATAAAATCATCAAAAAATGACTAGAGTGATGAAAAAGGAGAATGAGAAAAAAAAAAGAAAGAAAAAGAAAAATGATGAAAAAAGGGGTGAATAAAAAATAAATTTAAAAAGAGAACTTAAAATAAAAATTTAGTTAAAAGGATATTATAGGAATTTTATTTATAAAAAAAAAGAAAAAAGATAGGAGGGGTACTTATAGAAAAGAGGAGGTGTATATATCATCAACCTTATTAATATTATCTTTATTTTATTTTGTGAAATTTTTAACTTACTTTTACACTGATATATAGTATATTTAATTTGAAATATATTTATATGATAATAAATATAATAAAAATAAATATATTTTTCTTAGTTTAATGTGCTTATGTCTTTTTCATCTTTTTAAATTATTATAATATAAAAAGTTTATTATACAAAATTTATAAATTAATACATTAAAAATATAAGTTTAATATATTTATTGTTCTTATTATAAATAGTGTGTATGATATTTGAAATGATTATTTATAATTAATAATATTGCGTATACCTTGTGAGAATCACAAACACTGTATACCATAATAAAGAATCGAGTTTAATGTGGATTTGATGAGACATAACTTTCTAGCTTTGTTCAGTAACCTTCTTTTCTAGCTGGATAATTTTCCATTCACATGATGAACAACATGTTCGAAATCCCACAACTTAGATTGGCATACCCAAATGCTTCCCCGTGCAACAATTATGGTGCATATTCAAAATTTGTTAAACCATCTCTATTCTTAGGCTTCCCACCTTATTGGATATTCAAAATTTGTGAAACCCTCTCTTTCCTCAAGCTTTCCGCCTTCAAACCCAATGCAACACAAAGCCCTCCAAGGTTGAAGCTACCAGTTGCACCTGTTACTCCTGGTATGACAAAATAAGAAAATATCATCTACAAATAAAAATGAGACAAAGATGGGCCTCCCTGTGATATTTGAATAGCTTCCTAAAACCCTTCTCTATTAAGCTCATGGATGCGAAGAGCAAGTCTCTCCATGCAGAGCACGAAAAGATATGCAAAGAGATATCCCTTTGCCTAAGACCCTAAGAAAATTGAAAGGGTTGCAACTTCCCTCCATTCCAATGCACCGGCACCGCAAAGTTCTTAACTCCCCACATAATCAATTGGATAATACAAATTCTGTGAGACCCTTTCCATTCTCATTTTTCTCCTTCCCTCTCAACAAACCTAAACTTTATTTCTCACTCACTTCTTCCCTCCCTCTGGACCTTATACAAATTCTTCCTTTTTTTGGTGATCTAGGTGCTAAACTAGAGTCGGGCGGAGCTAGCTGAGGGTGACGAATTCCTTTGTTCCCGAAGTTTCCTTTTCTCAAGCTTCTTTTCTTCTCCTCCGCTTTCCCGAAACTCGGATTTCTTCTCCTCCGAGGTAAGGGAAGTTAGTTTTCGCTTGGTTTGGTTGGAAATGAGTTTAGAGACTCATGTTCTGGTTGTTTTTAGAATATTGATGGGTTGTTTTGGAGAAAATTGTGTTTTCGGGGTTTTAGAAAAAAAAGGGTGAAAATTTGGGGTTTGTGAGTTTCTATGGTTGCATGTTGAAAAAGAAGTGATTTTTGAGCTGTTTGATGTAAATGTGGTCCTTTGAATGGATTGCATGTGCTTGGGCTGTCTGTTTTCGCAGGTTTTGGTGAAAATTTTTGAAGTTGGAGGGTTTCTAATTGCTAATGCGCCGGGCGTAGTTCTTGGTATCAGGCGCGTGACCATCAGAGGGTTCCATTGGTCAAGCACGCCAGGCGCAAGGCTGGTTGCGCTGGGCGACCTCGAGAATGGAGGCCTCTAGAGGGCTCACGCCGGGCGTAGTAGAACCGCGCTGGGCGTGATATCAGACAGGGATTCACATTTTGGGGTTCTGGTATGGCGCTGGGCGTGAGTATGTCTCGCTAGGCGTGGAGACTCCTTGGGAGTCTCTGCCAGGGGTGGCGTTGGGCGCAATTGGTATTGCACCGGGCGTGAGACCTTGGGAGGTCTCTACCTTGCTTGCATCGAGCGTGGGTTTGGTACGCTGGGCATGGGAGACTCTTGAGAGTCTCTCTGCCTTCTAGCACGCCGGGCACAATTGGAATTGCACCGGGCACGTAAGAGCCTTGGAGCTCTCTAGTTGGTCCACGCTGGGCATAACTTTTATTGCGCCGGGCGCGGATGAGTTTTTTTCTTAACAATGCTGATTAATGCTGGTTAATGTTGTTTATGCTGCTTAATGTTGTATTGATGTAAAAATTAGTTGTGCCGTACGATGTGTATGCTGATTATTGATGTTAAGCCGAGCTATGCTGTATGCTGTTAATGCTATTATGTTGTGTTGTGCTGAATGTTAATTTTGAGTTGTGTTGTGAATATAAACTGTTGTAAGCCGTAAGGCTGAGCTGTTATAGGCTGTAAGGTTGAGCTATTGTAGGCCGTAAGGCTGAGTTGTTGTAGGCCGTAAGGCTGAGTTGTTGTAGGCCGTAAGGCTGAGCTGTTGTAGGAGATCTCCGAGCTGAAATGCGTGACGATGCATTGTTTGTTTGATGTTGTTTTTGCTGAATGTTATGAGCTGTATATGTGATGTGTTGTATGTTGAACTTAATGATTGCTGATAAGCTGTAGTTGTTTATAGTTTCTCTATATAGATGTTGATTCTTTTCACTAGTTTACCCTTGTTTTTCCATGTGGTTTGAACTGCAATGATCATATTGTGTATGAGAGCAAAGCAGGGTTAGGCTGGAGGATAGTAGCAGGTCTGTAGCCAGTTGATGTTTTATGTTGCTTTGCTGTGGCTAATAATTAGTGTAGCATTCTGGCTGTATTTTGTACATTAACTTTGAGCCCTAGGCTAGACATATGTGTATATGCTTTATTTTTATATATGCATATATACTCTATTCTGCGGGGTGTTATTTGTTGTGGAAAGGCTAGGTGGGTCGTTACAAATTCTATGAAAGATAGCCTATAGAAAATTCCAACTCATTCTGCCATACACCTTCTCAATGTTGATTTTCAATGTAATGGTTTCCTTAGCAG